ACGACCTCATCATCTCGTGATATTAATGTGTAAAGGTATACATTATTCACTTGTAACATATAGTTTTGACTTTTCATTACATTAGATGTTGTGGAACAATACTAAAAGATGCATAAATAGCAAAGGATGAAAGCAAAATTAAAACCACACGAGACAAAAGATGAGAAGGGCTTCACTATCTTCAACAACCAATACAAAAGTACAATCCAAAAGGCCAAAAAACCACTTGGTGAGCCACAAAATATAAAGATCTAACAACAAGATATAAAGAAGAGAGGGAATGTGGAGGCTAGGGTTAGAGATGTGATGTGCAATACATTCCTTTATAGTCCCTGTTCAAAAAGCCCTAAAACAAATGTGTATAGTCCAAAATGTCATTGTCACCAGTTTGAAAGTCAAAACTCAACAATTCTCCACCTTAACTCAAATCTCCACAAGAGCGTTATGCCAAATGCCACAAGACATCTCACCCTCACCACCAAGAGCGACCACACAAGGCCATGCCCCAAAATGGCGGAATCGACGACGCACACCTCTTAGCCTATGTGAGTGTACTCGATATAGAAAAAAAAAGGATGAACACCACTAATACTACCTCAAATGGTGAAAATGTCAATCAAGTCAAAGCAATGCTTTAACTTGGTCAAAGGAAAAGGTTTGGTCAACATATCTGCCGAATTATCCGTCTTTGGTACTTTCTTCACTGTAACCATATCCTTAGTAACCCCATCACGCACAAAGTGATACCGGATGCCGATATATTTCATTCTTTCATGATATATCGCATTCTTGGTTAACTAGATCGCACTTTGGTCATCACAAAAGATAACGAAGGCTCCCTCCTACTTCACCCAAGGATGTGTAACCTTCACCCAAAGATCCGAAACCAAATGTTTCAACCAAAGAGCTTCTTTGCCGCTTCTATCGCTGCCATGTACTTTGCTTCGATAGTAGACAGAGCAACCGTGTCCTACAAGATCGGTCTCTAACTAATCAAGGAACCACCAAGCGTAACAACATAGCCCGTTAAAGATCTCATTTTGTCAAGATTGTCTGCATAGTCGGAACCAACGAAGCCAACAACCGAATGTCTTATATCACAATCTCTGTCAAAGACCAAACTCACATCTAAGGTACCCTGGATATACTGAAAAATTTATTTCACGGCTTACCAATGAGTTTTATCCGAATGTGCCATATATATCTGCTCATAATACTAACTACCTAGGAAATGTCTGAACAAGTGCAAACTATAACATACATAAGACTACCCATATCACTAGAATATGAAACTTGAGACCATTTCATCTTCTTCTTCATTAGTTATAGGCGACAAAGAAACCAAAAACCTAAAATGGGACGCCAAAGGAGTACTTGCCGGTTTGGCTTTCATGCCAAAACGCTCAAGTACTTTCTCAATATACCTTTTCTATAAAAGGTATAACTTCTCAACCTATCTGTCTCTACAAATCTCCACACCTAGAATCTTCTTGGCAGCTCCAAGATCCTTCATCTCAAACACCCTACTAGGTTGCCTCTTCGACCATGTATCTCTAACATGTTTTTCACTGTAACAGCATGCCATCCGCATATAACAACAAATAAATAAAAGAACCATCACATAATCTCTTATCATATACGCAACTATCGTGCGTACTCCGCAAGTGGCCATGACTCAACATAAAGCTATTAAACCTCTTGTACCATTGCCGTGGGGATTGCTTGAGATCATACAAAGAGTGTTTTAACTTGCAAACATGATCTTTTTTACCCTTAACAACGAATCCCTCCAGTTGAGACATAAATTGTCTCCTCAAGCTCGCCAAGCATAAAAGTGGTCTTGACATCATGTTGCTCAAGTTTTAGATCACAAAGGGCCACTAACACGACAACACACGAATGGAATTATGTTTCATGATTGGAGAGAACACTTCATTGAAGTCGATCCCTTTCTTTTGACTAAAACCCTTCTCTACCAAACGTGCCTTGAATCTTCCATCTTCAACCCCTGGAATTCCCTCCTTTCTTGAAGACCCACTTGCATCCAACAGCTCTTTTGCCCTTTGGCGATTTCACAAGATCCCAAGTTCAGTTCTTATAAGAGACTCCATCTATTCATTCATTACAACAAGCCACTTCTCAGATTTAGAACAAATTGTAGCTTCACAGAATATAAACGGTTCTTCAATACCAAGCTCTTCATCAACTGTAAGAGCATATACTACCAAATCAACGAAGTCATATTTCTAAGGAGGTTTAATTTGCCGTTTAGTCCCCCCTGTAGCCAAGGTTTCAGGTTGCTCAACTTCTTCTACATCATCTTTGATCGAATTTGAGTGTTGTTGCTCACTGTCACTTTCTATCTGAATAGGAATACCTTCAAATGTTCTCTGTGGATGCTCCACCTCTTTCCCAACTTTCCCCTCCTGAATACTTGCAGACTCAACAACAACTTTTCTTTGATCAAGTATGGAATTTTCATCAAAAGTAACATCCCCACTTATTATAATTGGTGATTGAGAGTCACAACACTACAACCTATATCTCTTAACCCTGTCTATATAACCAACGAAAATACATTTCTTAGCCCTAGGTTCATACTTACCAACTTTTACATGATAATAAGCAAGACACCCAAATAATTTCAAACCAAAATAATAGAAAGTTTACTACATCATTCCTAATTTGGAGTGTAATATTCAATTGCGATTGAAGGAGAATGATTTACCAAATAACATGTCGTGTTCATGGCTTCAGACTAAAAAATTTTCCCAAGTACAGCATTAGAGAGCATACACCTAGATCTCTCTAAAAGTGTCCATTTCATGCGCTCCGCCACCCTATTCTGTTTAGGTGTATGCCTAATTGTTTGATGTTGAATAATCCCTGAATCTTCATAAAACTTGTTGAAATCACCTCTACAAAACTCAAGACTATTGTCTGTTCTGAAACGCTTTATTTTCTTCCTGGTTTGATTTTCAATCAACATCACTTCTAGATCGTATAAAAAACGTCACTCTTATGCTTCAAGAATTAAACCGAATCTCTTAAAAAAGTCATCAAGAAATGTCATAAGATAAACCGAACCACTCTTAGATGTAACATGTGCAAATCCCCATAAATCGAAGTGAATGTAGTCAACTGTGCCCATCGTCGAGTGCAACCCAGTACCAAACTAACTCTGCGTTACTTCTTGAAAACACAATGCTCACAAAAGTCAAGCGATACCGTATGCTCTCCATAAAGTAAACCACGTTTACTCAAGATAGTCATTCCTCTTTCGCTCATGTGGCCCAACTGCACAACCTTGATTTCTCAGAATCTGAAGAGGATAATACATTTGAAGAACCCACAACGATACTTCCTTGCAGAGCACCTCTCATCACAATCAAGAATCCCTTTGAAATTTTCAAAACTCCACCTCCACCCATGTACATGTACATGTACCAGGAATTAAAACTAGTCAACGAAATAAGGTTCTTCTCCGAATCTAGGATGTGCCTAATATTTGTTAAGGTTCTTACTATCTTGTCATGACATTTAATCTGCACCATACCAATACCCACAATCTTGCAAACTACATTGTTGCCTATCAAAACTGAACCACAACTGACTTTCTCATAAGTGTAGAGCCAATCTCTATTTGGACACATGTGATATAAACTTGATGAAACCAAAATCCATTTGTCGTCAATACGACAATCCGATAACAAAACAGTAAGAACATTGTTTGCATCAACTAACTTGATATCCTTCACCAGACTAGCTGAATCGAAACTCTCCATCAACTTCTTCCCCTAGCTTTGAGCAAAGGACACTCATTTTTGTAGTGTCCGAATTTGTAACAATAGTAACACTCCACCTTGTTGTCCCGGCCTGAGCTAGACTTCGAATGCCTTTTAATATTTCTACACCTATCACGATGATTCAACTTTCCACTAACAACTAACTCATCGGCTTTATCACCACCATCACTTGCATTAAGCTTTTTACGCATCACCGCGGAATTCAACGAGGCCTTCACATCCTCAAGAGTTATGATTTCCCTTCCATACAGCATAGAATTCACAAAATTCTCATACAATCTCGGTAGTGAAACACAATTAGGGCTTAGTCTTCATCATCTAACTCCAAATCTAGATTTTTCATATTCGTTTTGATCTTATTAAATTCATCTAAATGTTCTTGGATAGGAGTATCTCCTTGCATCTTTAGCATGTAAAGACAATGCTTCAAGAATAATATCGTTGTAAGAGATTTCTTCATGTAGAGGCTTTCGAGCTTCTTCCACAATCCCAAAGCCGTTTCTTCATCGGCGATCTCACGAAGCACCTTGTCGGACAATGACAATTGGATGGTGTTGTACGCCCTCTCTTCCATCTCCTTGATCTCGGCCAAAGTCATGCCGTCGAGGTACTTCCCATCCAAGGCTATAACCAAACCTTCCCAATACAACAACTCATTCATCTTGATCTTTCATAGCCTGAAATTATTTTGGCCATCGAGAGGGTGCTACTTCGAACTTGATAGATGCCATCTTGAACAAAAGACCCAAGTTCCTTCAGTCTGATACCAATTTGTTGCGGAACAACACCAAAAGATGCAAAAATTGAAGCACAAATAGAAAAGGATGAAAGCAAAATCAAAACCACATGAGACATAAGATATACATGGAAACCCAAGACAGGAAAAACCATACGAAGAGAGAGGAGCTTCACCATCTTCAACAACCAGTGCATGAGTACAATCCAAAAGGTCAAAAAATCACTTGATGAGCTACAAGATCTAAAGATCTAACAAGAAGATAGGAAGAACAAAGAAGGGAGAGAAAGTGGAGGTTAGGGTTTGAGATGTATTGTGCAACAAATCCCTCTTCTAGTCTCCCTTCGAAAAGCCCTAAAACAAATGTGCATAGTTCAAAATGCCTTTATCACCAATTTGAAAGTCAAAACTCAAAATTAGATGATTTATGTTCACAATTCGTTGTTATGTTCATGCAGGTTGTAGCTATGGCACCAAATGTCCCTGCACTGTACGAGCTCCACTTCGCTGTTCCAATGGCAGGTGCGACTCTTTCCGCGCTCAACATAAGACTTGACGAGCACGCTTTAACCATCATTCTTCACCAGTTACGACCCAAAATCATCTTCGTTGACTCCGAGTTTGTACAACTCGTCTCCAAAGTCATCAACAACAAGAACAACATGCAAATCCAAGAAAACCACCATGATCACAAGCCACTGCTCATCGCAATCTATGACGACTCACCATACCATCGAGCCCAATGTGATCTTGAGGTTCAAGAGTATGAACAAACCCTAGCTACGGGAGACAACAATTTCCAAGCCGTGAATCCGACTGATGAGTGTGACCCCATCTCAGTCAACTTCACTTCGGGGTCGACGGGGACACCCAAGGCAGTGGCATACAGCCACCGGGCAGCGTACTTGAACTCTCTAGGGCTGATCCTCCGGTACGAGATGGGGAAGTCGTCGGTGTTCCTGTGGACGGTGGACATGTTCAGGTGCAATGGGTGGTGCTTCGCGTGGGCGATGGCGGCTCTCGGCGGCGTCAATGTATGTATTAGGAACATGTCTACGAAGATCATCTTCGACTCCATTCAGCTCCACAAGGTCACTCATCTCTGTGGTAATGATTTATTTTTGTTTACTTTGATGTGGAAGGTCCTGTTACATCATGAGCATGACATATTGAACGAAGTCAATTGAGAATACAAATGTTTTTAACTTTTAACTTATGAAGTTACAATATATCATTCACATTAAAAACATAGATGAGTAGTGTTGAGATATGTCGATAATGTGTCATTACCTTAGTGTAGTAAATATGAGCAAGTAATTGGGAGGATGCCTACGCTTTTGAAAACATGTAATATGAAAGTATCGATAATGTTAGGTTCATGCAAAATCACCCATGAAAAAGTAGAATTTTCTTTTTTGTCCCTTTCAACAGGTAAACCCACTATCCTAAATTTGATCGCTGAGTCCCCATCAGTCGACCAAAAGCCACTGCCTTCCAGGGTGGATGTAATCATCGCCGGTGCATTCCCGACGACCGACGTCATCAAGAGAGTCCAAGAACTTGGGTTCAACATTATCTATGGATATGGCATGACGGAAGCCCTAGGGCCTGCCCACATCAGACCCTGGAGGTCATCACAACACCACCACCATGACGACGACGACGACCACCACGAAGATTATAACCTGAAATGTAGAGAAGGCCTCCACAACATCACACTGGAAGCTGCTGATGTCAAGGACCCGACCACCATGCGGAGCGTTCCAAGAGACGGGAAAACAATGGGAGAAGTCATGCTCCGAGGGAACACCCTCATGGCAGGCTACTTGGGCGACCCGGAGGCGACGCAGGAAGCCTTCTCTAGTGGGTGGTTCAAGACCGGGGATGTCGGGGTGCGGCACGCAGATGGTTGCGTAGAGATGAAGGACCGAGCGAGGGACGTCATATTCTTCGGAAAGGAGGTGATCAGCACATTGGACATAGAAGCCGTCTTGTTGAGCCACCCGAAAGTTGCGGAAGCCGCCGTGGTTGCTCAATATACCGTCGTAGCAGGGCAAGTCCCATGCGCATTCGTGAAGTTGAAGGAAGGTAGGTGTTCCAAAGCTGAGGAGATTGTAGAGTTTTGCGCGGAGCGGCTGCAAAACGCGGCGATGGTTCCGAAAACGGTGTCTTTCGGGGACTTGCCAATGAATTCCACAGGGAAGGTGCAGAAGTCTGTGCTAAGAGAGAGAGCCAATGCAATTGGGCAGCTTTGTCCATAGAACGAGCACGCCTTCATAAGAACCATAACATCAGGGGAATCGCTTGCAAAAGGTAAATTTGGTGATCAGAATTGAACTACTTGTGTATGTCTGTGTTATTTGTCCTGTAATTCCATTCTTCGGATTGTCATTAATTTCTCTAACTTTGATGTAAGAATAGCTTTTGGTTTCTATCTTTTTTTAGTCAAACTTTCTAGCTGGAATTTAACCATTTATTTATAGTTACTCTACGAAAAGCAAAGGTTTCAGTCTTAGATATTGTTGGCACGACTGTCCTCCTACCCGAAAGATGCGATCTCATACAAATAACCAGTATTAACCTGTTGTCAGAATATATAACTGTCTGTACATCTAATAAAATAACAAGCAGGTGATAGGATCAAAGTTCCAATGTTCACTGAAATGAACTTATACATCTCGAGTGACTACCAAACTAAACCCTACGAATGCCGTTTCAAACACATATTCAACTATCTCCACGTATACCAATTTCATAATCTCGACCTTAAGCGTAAGGTACGACTCATCGTTTATTGGAGAACACTTCTCTCCAACTTCATGCATTCTCGTTCTGTAACTGAATCGAGCTTATGCTAATTCAATCGTTTTGTTATTTCCCTTAACAAGTAATAATGGTTTGATATTTTTTATTTTTTTGGGGGGCCGATTTTATATATTGGTTCCATAACATCTCTAGACTAAAATAAGTCGAATGTTGAACATTCTCACATGAAATGGAAATGGGCCCGACAACATCTTCACGGCCAATACTAACGGATTCGAATTATAAATCGGTCCCACCATTTAATTTGTCACAATCAAATGAAACAGCTTCTTCTGTCGTGGGCATGTCTGGTGGTGGTAAACATAGTTAAGTATCGAGAATGCCTGTTGCTCTCTTTTGCAAAAGAGTAAATAATCAATTAATAATAAAGTAATTATAGCATTCACAGCCAACACTAATTTCGCTTAACAATCGAAAGGCTTAAGTTAATTTGAGCAGGAAACTTTTTATGACCGATTTATAATCTTCGCCGGACGGCAAGTTCATCGTGGCCAACGCCAAAAAGGTTGGTAACCAAAAAGGTTGGTAACCCGACTCTTTCCCAAGTTCTTGACCAATTTCAATCTCGATTGCTTGCTAATTGTTGTACATCTATCACTATTCTTGAGGTCCAGTCCCTCCTATGATTGTAATCTCCTCAAATACAGTAGAAATTTTCCTAACATACGTTAAGAACTCAATCATCATTATGGGTCGTGAACATTTAATTTTCGATACTTCATATCAACCTTGACTTCGCATATTTAAACAAATTACATAAATAATATAAGGAATTTCACGAACTTTCACATGTATCGCATTCTAGTCGATAAATGTACTCGAAAAACTGGGATTACTGGGTCGTTCCAATTCTGCTAAAATTTGAATAGGGGAATATAATTGAGCCCCGTCATGGAAGGTAGTTCGTGAGCTTCTATCCCATGACCAGGATACTCGAGTGCTCGTCCGTGGCCTCCACTTCGCAAACAGGGTCGCAGTTTCACCCGATCAAGATTTCGTCGTGTTCCACGAGACAACAATGTGGGAACACGCTGGTATCGCAGGATTAAATAATTCATCGAGTCCTTCACGTCGGCGACTCTATCTCAAAACTCTTCCCCGAAGATGTCGGAAGCATTGGAACTATTATTGACGCGTCTAGATGAATAGAACGCGAAGTTCAACCTGTCAGTCGGGTTGATAATTGCAGGCACATGGGCAGAAGACATAACCTAACCGGCGAGAGGAAGGGAAAGGAAAACGAATTCATCGCTCATCTACCCCGCGTGCCGGATGAAATCTACTACGACGGACAAGGCCACCCGCTGATGGGATTCATACTGAGCAAGCATTCATGATCTTGCTTACCACCTGCTGCTTTGGCAGGCAAGGATGGCTTCCACACAGCTGGCGCTTTAGTACCCTCCCGTCCCAAACGTCATGGCGATGCTGGAGAAATACTTGCAGCAAACCCACCTCCAGAAGAACATGATGGATCTGTGGATTCTGACAGAGAAAAGTAATATTCAAGCGCAGAAACAGTTGCTGTAGATAGGCACTTCTCAAGAGGTCACCCATCCCGCTAATGGCATACATGTAATTATCATGTTAAAGCAGAGAACAAAGTTTTTACTATTGCTAATGACATACATGTAATTTTCATCATAACTATGTATGCCATAGGATATATATTGTGGCAATATCTTTTGTAGTTGTAACGCTAAAGCTTGTAACGCTAATAATAATGCTGATAGTGGAGAGATTGCCTAGTGCAACACCATGGTTTTTCTCTTTCTAATTTTAAAAGGGTTATCCACGTAAAAATTCACTTGTTTTCTTGTCTATTTTTTCTCTTCGAAAATTCATGTTCCTAACAGAACGGAGGAGTATTCATGGTGGATCTGAAAGGACATCCGGTCACACACTATTATGGTCCTCAGATGTCATTAACCAGCAGAGTGAAGAGAAGACACTACTTGAATTCATCCTAGATATATATCACAATAGTGCACGAGCAAATGCAAGAGCTAAAAGATTACACGGCCGCCTGCAACAAAAAGAGAAATAAAAACTTTTCTCATTGCTGGCCCTCGCCTCCCGCCGCCTGACGCCGCCACCCCTCGCTGGCCGCCCGCCGACTGCCACCCGTCGATGAATGGAAAAGAGAGTAAGAGGGAGATATTTAAGAAAGCCTATCAAACAAATTTCTATTCCGAGAAGAGAAATTTTATGTCGTTATCAAACGCATATCTCTATTCAGAAACTAGTTCAGGGAATAAAAGAAAATCAATTTCATGAATAGAATGATTATCAGTCACGTCCTAACTCTCACGTCAATTTAAGTGCTGCCCGACAAAAAAAGATGGCGTTGAAATGATTGAGAGGTTTCTAGAGGGAAGAAAGAGCCTGGCTTTGATGTGAATGGGAAGAGCATGGATGTATGCTTTTGTGGAGGTAGTTCTCAGCTACCTCTGGCTGTTGAAAATGAAAATGGCACGATGGCAGGTAGGGCTTATCTAGTCTATCAGCTAGTCTATCAGCTCGTCAGCACTCGAGAGCCCCATCTATCTCTTTATATTGTTATGCCACTTGATAGATGGAGTAACAATATATGATAAAAGTAGTCTACAATCTATTTTAACAAAAAGATACCAAAAACGTAATAAGTTTATTGCATTGATACCTATTTAATACTGAATATTTCAATTGAACCAATTAAGTTTTAAACCTTTTTACACTTACACCAATTGAGTTCATCCAGTCAATTTAGACCAGAAATTGCTGATGGAGACGCCAGCCATCTTACATGGACAAATTTTTTTTTCTTTGACCCAATTTTTCCTTTCCTTTTATTCTTGGCCGACTTCAACTACAGAAATCAAATTTCCCCAGTTTTCAACAAAGTCCCAGTTGTACTTTCCAATTTTGGCCGACTTCAACTACAGAAATCAAATTTCTCCATGTTTTCAACAAAGTCCCAGTTGTACTTTCCAATTTTGGCCGACTTCAACTACAGAAATCAAATTTCCCCATGTTTTCAACAAAGTCCCAGTTGTATTTTCCAATTTTGGCCGCTCCAATACAGAAACAATGTCCACATTATTCGTTTTCGAACTTTCACATACAGAGTAATTCAGTTCGGATCGTTCGTCAAATGGACTCAAACTCGAGACATATTTTAACATAATGCATACATAATAATGATCACACAAGTTCTGGGGAGAGATTGCGAAATGCTTGGTTCATGAGAGGCTGCCCATGGCCTTTGCTTTTTCCCTCAGAATGAACTTTTGTGTCTTTCCGGTCGAAGTTCTTGGCAAATCCTCGAACACGACTGTACGAGGAGCCATGTAATGAGGCAAATGATCTCGGCAGAATCCTATGATCTCCTGAGCATCGGCGTCACGTCCCTCCTTTAACTTCACGAATGCGCAAGGCATTTCGCCCCAAAAACTATCGGGACGCGCGACCACCGCGGCCTCTAGAACCGCCGGATGGCTGTACAGAACCGTCTCCACCTCCACGGTGCTTATATTTTCTCCTCCCGAAATTATAACGTCTTTCAAACGATCTTTTACTTCGATGTAGCCATCGGGATGCTTCACGGCAAGGTCTCCGCTATGAAACCATCCGCCCTCGAATGCCTTCTCCGTCGCTTCCTGATTCTTATAGTACCCGCTCATGACAGTGTTTCCTCTGAACAAGATCTCTCCTAGAGATTTACCATCACTAGGAACGCTCTCCATTGTGACCGGATCTCTGACGTCGACTTCGTCGAGGCCAAGATGTTGCATCCCTTGTCGAGCTTTGATGTTCGATCTTTGGTCAGAGGGCAGAGAGTCCCACTCAGGCTTCCACGCACAGTACGTCGCTGGGCCGTAAGTTTCTGTCAAGCCATACACGTGCGTTACGCCGAAACCAAGCTCTTCCATCTTGAATAGGATTTGTGGAGGCGGCGGCGAACCACCCGTCATGATTTCCACCTTGCGAGGAAGAGGCCGTCGATCATCTTCCGCTGAGTTAACAATCATATTCAGGACAGTCGGCGCTCCTCCCATGTGAGTTACGTTATGCATAGCAATGCTATCAAATATTCCCTTCGGAGAGACTTTTCGGAGGCACACGTTGGTGCCACCTTGTGCCGCCACTCCCCAAGTCAAGCACCATCCGTTGCAATGGAACATAGGCACTGTCCACAGGTAAACTGGCATCGGGCCCATCCCATGAAGAAGAAATGTCGCGATGGAATTTAGATACGCACCTCTATGGCTATAGACAACTCCTTTGGGCTGTGATGTCGTCCCGGAAGTATAGTTTATGCTGATAGGATCCCATTCGCTGTGTGGTCGGCGCACCTCGAAATCGGATGACCCCGAGGCCACAAGTCCTTCATACTCGCAAATGCCTGAAGGATGCAAAAGGAACCGAATCATCCGATTCAGAAATAAGGACTACAATCGGGGGTTCTGTTTCTGTCTTGTTGAACATATCAATTGCACAGCGAGCAACTTCAAGTAGCTGATGGTCCACGAAAATGATCTTGGCTCTCGAATGTTTCAGAAGAACCGACACCATGGATGGGTCGTGCCGGGTGTTGAGCGTGCAGAGGATCGCTCCAGCCATGGGGCCGCAAAATGCAGCTCATACACCGCAGGGACGTTGGGAGCCAAGGTGGCTATCTGTTCAGAGATACAACACCCAAAGCTTAATCCTCTCTCATCTGTTATTCAAATCACTCCTATGAACTAGATGAATCATTATCACGCACTAACAAAGAAGATTTTTCCAGTCATTATTTTCCAAACCTTTTAAAGGAGAAACGTGTTCATTTGACACACATGGACCGAAACACAGTTTCCCACAAATCAAACCGTAATGAATCAAATTTTACCTAGATGAAGAAACTGATACGGCAGACAAAAGAAAGAGATACAACTCATGAATCAAACCAGAATGCGTGTACCAGTGAACTTAATACGAATTATTCGCCTGAACCAATGCACGACCATTTGCCTTTCAAACGACCAAAATTTGCCTGACGATACAGACCATGACAGGGTATTGAACTCAAAACCAACTCGGACTCCGACTCACCACATCGCCCCAGGAAATTCCCAGCCGGGACAGAGCAGAGGCCACTCTACGGCACCGCTCGTGAGTCTCACTCCAAGTATACTTCACCTTGCCGTACACCACCGAGGTCACGTCTCTGTAGACCTTGGCCGACCGCTCCAAGAAGCTGATGGGAGTGAGAGGGACGTGGTTGGCCGAGCAACGGACGAGACCCTCCATGTTGAGTGAGACCTGTGTTGCTATTTCTCCAAACAGCAAAATATCTTCACTACTTATAAAATATCGATTACAAACACACTTATTTTACACTCACTCACAAGTTCCCCACACCCCTCCCACACACACCTCATCCACTTCGCAGAAATGGAGACCCACTCGCCTATATTGCTCGCTCTGCTCTTCTCTCTACCTTCTCGACAACACTGCACACACGTTAAGAAGGTGGCTGCCTATTTATAGCGAGATTCCCACCGAAATAGTACGGAAGAAGTGTTCTACAATGGTTCAACATGGACTCATTGTTGACACCTGATTTGCGCGGCGCGACACCCATCTACAATTACAAACTTTAACTATTCCCTAAGTAATTTTCAACCGCACAACTCAACTAACACTAAAAGACTTCAACACCCCAAGCAACAGCTACTTATGGTAGATATTTAGTTCTAGATAAATCTAGAAAAGTGGAGAGAAATGTTAGAATGTGGTTCATACTCCCTATCGAAAGGAAAGCATGGGTCCCGCTCCCGGTGAGTGGGCGGGAGGGCCCGAAGGGGCCGCCCCAGCAGGTGTCATAAGGGGCAGACCCCTCCCTTGCGACGCCAGAGGACTTTTATAGTTTAGACTTGTATTTTATTGATAACTTAGACTTGCGCCCATGAATAGCTACTGAGTATATATAATATCTTTCTCTTGTAATAGAGAATTATAACAAAAATGTGCAAGATGATAATTATAGTTGAATCTCTGTTGGATGTAGCCTTAGTTTAAAGATAAATCAGAATAAAACCTTGTATCTTGATTTCTATTTCTCGCCTTACCTTTCTATTTCGTTGTGTTTGTGCACATAATCCTAACAAGAGAGAGGCGGTGGTTCTTCAACATTCCCCCTCACCGACTATTCTCTCTCATGCGGGTCTAGCAACGTGCCGAGTTGCTTTTCTCCGTCTGCCTTATCTGCTTCTTCCTTTAAACTTTGGTAATCCTTTTTGGCTTCGCTCGTTTCTAGCGCTAGCTTATGTACTGCAAGATAAGGACTTGATTTAATACTGTTAGCTCTAACTTCAGTTACCTTTGTGGATGCGATTTTCCATCTGGATTTGTGAAGCTCGAATTTCAGCAATGCATGTTTTTCCTCGTCTCGGTCTTCATACTCATGTCGTCAAGCCGCTCATTCGTGATCTTCATTTCATGCTTCAATTGATTTAACTTCAATTGATTTAAACACGTTTCCATGAATCGCTGCATCTCGGGATGTAAGGTGGAGATGTCTCTTTTTCTTGGGGAAATCTTTCTTTTTCTCCTTCAGGTGTTCCTTGTCTCTTCTAGTATGACCGATTGGCAACGTCATAGTGGGCTTGAATTCCTTGAACTTCTCCAACATCATGAACTCACATCGGAACTTCTCAAGCTCACTTTCTTTTGCCTGGGGCTCCTTGTCCATCTGCTTCAGCATTTCGTTCCTCTTTTCCAAGATCTCTTCCACCTTGACCTTCTGAACTCAACTTCTTCATTATCTCCTACATCTCTTGCAATTTCTTCTCGTGACTGCTTGTTGGCGTCGTTACTTGCTTCTTCGAGTTATCCCATGACTTGCTCTTTTTCGAGGACTTGACAACAGCTATTGAATCATCTAACTCAATTATACAGGCGATTGCAAGCTTTTCTCGTTCCTTTACTGCAACAGGCGCTTGGAAGTCCCATTCTTCTTCTCTTTCTATCTCCATCTTGAAGGAAGTTACGACATTTCCTTCTTCCCGCATGTACTATCAAACTCTAGCAATGTGTCCTACCTTGCTGCAGACGTAACACCATTTGCTAAACCTTTTGTTGCTCTCCTCTTCATCTTTGTTCTCGTCGTGATCTCAACCAGCTTCCCCTAGTTGATAACCCGTCCAGTCTGGTTGCCTCCGCCAGTCTCCATGACTTCTCTACGGTTTGTAATTTTTTGTATCGTCCTATATCTACTTTGGCCCTTAAACCCTCTTTTTTTAGTGAAGAGGCAGTTTCATCGTCCTTAAGTAAGACATTAGACATTTGTCTAACTAAATCCTCTTGGTTGGCCAATATATTCTCCAACTCGGTCAGAGTTGGCTCTTTTGCCCATCCACGGGTGGCCGTAACAAAACCGTTATACTCTCGCCGTAACCTGTGAATAATTATTCTCATCATTCTTATCTCAAAGATGGCATTCGGAGGGTCTAGCTTTGTAATTTCTTGACAAATAGATTTAGCTTTGGCGAAATATTGACTTACGGTCATATTTTGTTGCGAGATTCAAAGGACCTCATTCTCCAACCTTTGCAACTTGGCATCGTTCGTTCTCACGCACAATGCCGCCAAGTTGTCCCAAGCCTCCTTTGGAGTCTCCGCACTCTGAATATGCTATAACAACTCATCTTCATCAATTATAGCAAGAACATAAAGAGACTTACCCCCTTTGATGTTTCATTTTCTGAACTTACCATCGTTTGTGGGTGGTGTGATGTTGCCACCACCAACGATAGATAAAATTGCATGCAGGTAATCCAATTATTATAATTGAGTTGTTGAGCTTCTCGACGCCGTTCACTGAACTTGAAAAAGCTGCCATCGTGACTTGGTGATGGGGCAACATCAAAACTTAAATCTTCCAATGATGGCATTGCCATCCCAACTCAATCTTCACTAATCAATCAAGCCAACTTGTTAATCATGGAAGCACATAGCAAATTCGTCCTTATCATGATCCAATGGGTCCAAGGCACTCAAGATAGCATTTGTTGATGGTTGGTGGCTTAAATGCAAGGTTGAAGAGGCGATGATACGCTCCCCTTGTTTAGTGTGTCTTATTGTCTCTTTAATGCTTTAGTGTGCTTAGTTTGTCTTCTTACATTAAAGAGGTAAGGTTAAAATGTCAAAGATTGCATGTTTGAAAGAGTGAGAGCTAACTTTCGTTACTAGACTGAAGTGTAAGAAGGTAGAGTATGCTCAGTTTGTGTTCTTGTCTTTAATGAAAGTTTAAAATGTCAAAGAGTCTTTATTGCAAGTTTGAGAAAGAGAGAGCTAGCCTTCAATACAAAGCTAAAGTGTCAAAATGTAGAGTATGCTGGTATTTATTATAAGAGTCTTAGTACAAGGTCTTAGTTTGGCCATAAATAGAGATGTAATTTCTTGTGGAAGGCAAACCTGATTTGTAATACATGATATTTCCTCTTAAAGTGAGCAATTTCCTTCAAAATTCGATTCTTTATCCATTTGTATGGTGGTAAGCCTTAAATTCTTTATCCTTGGCTGATGGATTGTTCTTTTAGGCCTTGATGGTGAACTTCATCTATCCCAACTTCATTTCGTTCATAAAACACCTCTATTTAGCCCAATCCCACTTTTCTAGCAAGTTTCATTTTAAAAGAAAGCAACAGCACATTTCATCACGTACATCCCAGCAAACACTTATCGATACACTGTATCCTTTAGACACTAGTTAGAAAATGAATTTGTTATCCCTTCATTCCCAACACGCTTCACTTGTTATAATGCCCGGCACTACACCAAGTAAGCTTGGTTCTAGACCAATTGATCATAGTCCCTGACTGTGCACTAGTAGAATTTCGGCGCACTCTGGTCCTTGATCATTGTCTTTGTACCATGCTCTGATTCGCTGGGTTGTCGGTCCCCAACCGCCTACTCTTACATTGGTCCCAAACACCCTGTACTCTAATACCACTTGTTGAGTTTCGGAGGCGCAGCTCTAATACCACTCGATGACCTTAAAAGGCACAACTTTGATACCAATTGTTGAGTTGCGAGCGGATACTCAATTACGATAAACACTATCTTTTGTTATTACAGGAATAAATACATAACACCACACACACGAACACTCGCTACACTTACGTTGCTCTCAACCACCTACAACACCACACACTACACTTTCTTCTCGCTACCCACCCACACGCTCTACACCTGCACTGGAAAGGGGGGGACCGACATACTTTTGTAGGGAAAATACCAAAAAAGTACTAAACTTATAATTCAGTCATAAAGCTTTCAATTATGCCAATTCAATCCTAAACATTTCACATTTTGTCAATTGAATTCATCCGACTAATTTTGACTGGAAAATATTGACGTGGCGGTCCATTCAGCACCGGCCTTCCTATGTGACTTACCAACACTGACATTGACAAATATTTATTAGTTTCCTATTTTTTTTTATTTTTTGTGAATTCTTATCCTCTTTTTTTTCCTCTTTCTTTTTCATTTTTCTATTTTTCTTTTCCCTTTTTGCAGGTGGCCAGTCTCAAGCAATGGCTAGCCACCAACAATGCCAGGACAGGGCTGGGCGACGGTCGTCCCCACCCGATTTGGAGAGGGCCACCCTCGCTGGCCATAGGCAATGGACGGCCTCGTCTGGGTCCTACCCAGGCGAGGCCATACTCGATAGCCACTGCTCGCTTGTAATCCACAATGATTCACCATATCGTCGAGCCCAACATGATCTTGAGGTTCGAGAGAATGAACAAACCCTAGCTACGATAGAGAGCAACTTCCAAGCCTTGAGTCCAGCTGACGAGTGTGACCCCACCTCGGTCAACTTCACTCCGGGGTCGACGGGGATGCCCAAGGCGGTGGCATACGGCCACTGGGCAACGTACTTGAACTCTCTAGGGTTGATCCTCCGGTACGGGATGGGTAAGTCGCTGGTGTTCCTGTGGACGGTGGACACGTTCAGGTGCAATGGGTGGTGATTCGCGTGGGCGATGGCAGGCCTCGGCGACGTCAATGTATGTATTAGGAACATGTCCGCGAAGATCATTTTCAATTCCATTCATCTACACAAGGTCGCTTATCTCTATGGTAATGGTCCATTTTTGTTTACTTTGACGTATTAGATCCTATTTAATCACGAGCATGACATATTGAACGGAGTCAATAGAGGATACAAATGCTTTTATACATACTTTCATATTCCATGTTTCAAAAAGTAGAATTTTATTTTTTTCCCTTTTAACAGGTGAACCCACTATCGTAAATATGATCGGTGAATCCCCATCAGTCGACTGAAAGCCACTGCCTTCCGCGGTGGATGTAATCATCGCTTTCACATTACCACCGACCGACGTCCTCAGGAGAGTCCAAGAACTTGGGTT